AGTTTCTTGGTTCGCAGCTCCGCCTCATCAGGTTCTGGTCAAACCGGTTTGACTCCTGATCTGATGGAAGTGAAGCAGTGACGCTGTGTGTGTGTGTGTGTGTCAGTCATCAGACCAGGTGAGTTTCTTGGTTCGCAGCTCCGCCTCATCAGGTTCTGGTCAAACCGGTTTGACTCCTGATCTGATGGAAGTGAAGCAGTGACGCCTCACACCGGTTTGCCTCTGTGTTGTTGTTGTTGTTGTGAGTCCGCACGGAGGTAGGCCCCCGCTCTTCTCATTGTGTTCTTGTTGTTTGTGTAGTTTGTGTTCGGACACAACCAGCGACCGTGCGACGTTGTTTTAGAGCGAGGCACCAAACTGCGTTCAAAATTCTGCCCATTTAAAGTTTCTTGCCGTTTGCGAACTGAAACATTTGAATGAAGCGAATCAGAAACGTGTCGCCGTTCGTTTGGGTTCACGTTGTTGAATTCGTCTCATTCATTTTCACCTGAAACTCACGTCTAACGTCTCGTTTTAACTTTTGTTCGGTCGCGACCTGAACGACTCTCCGGACGCCGCGGTGCCACCACGTGACGCGTCACTTAAAGTGAGAATCCGGGTGGAAAGTGTTCGGACGATGGATCCAGGTTCTGCCGAAGTCTTCACCGAACACCGAGTTCACACCGAAACACTCAACTCACCCCGAACGATCTTTGAACACGCGTTAAAAGTATGTGATATGTTATATTGCTAAAAAATCTGAACGGAGTCTGGTCCCTGGGCCAGTCAGGACACAGGTCAGGACACACTGAACACCAGTCAACTGAAAACTATTTCATTCAGATCTGGACTTAAAATCACATCCAGAAACACACAGCTGTAACATTACTATGATCCAATCTGTTTACATTTAAGATTTAATTGAAATCTCGTCAAACTGATATTTTTTAGGAAAACATGAGTTTATACAAAAACTCAAACCTAATGACAGTTTCAAGCCTTAAAGTTTCTCGTAGTATCTTAAATTTCCAGTGTATTGAACAGAGTTCGGTTTTAAAACACTACAAAACTGAGAATTACTGCATGTTCATATGGCTTCTAGATTATATTGAATTAAAATCAGACTTTCTTCTCCTGTGTGTTTTAGCAATGCACATGTTCAGAAGAGATAAAGGCTCCGCGGCCCAAACTCCAGCGGTGCCACCGAGACCCAGCAAGGAGGTGTGTGAGAATAAAATCTAGAGAACAAGTTGGTGGAAGTTCAAGAACATTTAGTTCATGTGTTTTAATGGACGCCTGTTGTTTACGAGCAGGAGCTGGATAATCCCATCACACACAGTCTGAACCTGGAGGACGCAGAGACGACCGCAGCGTCACAGGTAAATTAATACTAATATAATAAAGTCATATTTCAGTATACAGTTACTTCAGTGTTTCACGATACGCAAGACAAAAACTAAAGGAAGTTAAATTCAGATAAGATCAGGTAAGATAAGTTAAGGTAAATTCAGATAAGGTAAGATAAGTTAAGGTAAATTCAGATAAGGTAAGATAAGTTAAGGTAAATTCAGATAAGGTAAGATCAGTTAAGGTAAATTCAGATAAGGTAAGATCAGGGGAGGTTTTCTGGTAGAAGAACGTTCTGAGGTAATTTTATCACTATAAATAAAATGATAAAATTAAACACGAGCAGTTCATCTACCAGCATAAATAAAATGTAGGTGAACAAAGAACTCAGATAAAATCAGGAAATACTTTCTGATGCGTTTCAAATGTTTTCACTTGCATTTTAAAAACACGTTTGTTTCTTCATATTTCTGATTGTAATTATTTGTCGTAGGAAAACAACAACGAGGTCACACAGGAACTAAACCCAAAGACCAAGGTGAGAACAAGTCGTTCTTACTAAATCTGAGCTTCGGCCATTTTCTGAGGCTCGTTAAGAGTTTATTCATATAATTAAATATAATCAATCTGGTTGTATATTCATTATATATTGTCTTATTTAACCTGTGTCTCTATAAACCTCAGAGGACCGGGGTGATGGGAGTTATGCAGCAGGTCAATCCCTTCAAGTCGACCTCACAGGTGTGAGGCAGTTTGAGTTTTTAGTAAAAGTTTTGTGTTCTTCACGTCAGTTTGATTTAACGTGTACGTTCTGCAGGTTCCCTCCAGAGTCAACAAAGCTCCGTCGTCTGAGTCACTCGAGCAGACGGACTCCACACAGGTGAGAGGAACCTGCGAACTCTGCTTCATGCTCTCGTTTCTAGAAAACTGTCGTGCACTTTTGTCAGAACAGCTTTTAAACTAGAAACATTTAAATTCACCAGATCCAGATTCTTTTCTCATCTCACTGATACCAACAAACTAAACAAAGTTTTTTTTTTTCATCGAGCTCCGTAAATTATTTCCTGAGAAATCCTCCAAAAAATATAAAATCTCTCAATGTTAAAGAAAATGAAGAAGAATTCCTGAATAATTCAAAAAAAGTAAAGTAACTCTGTTGTGACCTTTTAAACTCAAATCATTTTATTTACTTTCCGAGCACCATTTGGATTTAATTATTTCGTACTGAGCTCTGATTGGCTCCTGCACTCGTTACCTCCACCAATGAGAAACTACTCAACCAATATCATTACATTCTGACTTTAAAAAATGTATTCAGAAACAAATAAATTCCTCTTTAATAACTGTTATATTTTTATTCTTCTGTTTTTATTCTATTTATTCAAATTATTGATCACGTTTTTATATTTGTAATAGACTTTTATTTTATATATTTACATTTTTCACATGTTTACTTGTGTATTATTGTGTCTTAGCTTTTTATCTTCTTGTCTGTTCAGTCGTATCATATGAAATGTGCTGACATAACTACATTTTATATTGAACAACCGATCAAACCATAAAGTTGATTTACTCTTCCAAAGGTGAAGCAGAACACGTTTTATAAAGTTTAAGAAATATAAAAAAGGTTACAGGAGATAATGTAAACAAAGGCATTTTATTTACAAAGCACCTTTCGTACACGGAGATTCAACTTCTGTTTGTTCCGAGTGTAAATATTTGCTTCAGTGCATCTTTGTGATACTTGTACTTCAGAGCGCTGGCGGGCTGAAAGGAGTCATGCAGAAGGTCAACCCATTCAAATCTACCTCCCAGGTAACAGCAGCAGTGTCTGGACGTCACAATGGTCACAATGAGCCGAGGTGTGTCAGATAAACTCACCTGGATCTTCTCACAGGTTCCTAAAGCTCCGTCTGCAGAGTCGCTGGAGCAGGGACGAGTGTCAGAATCCAATCAGGTGGGAGAGAGGAGATGATTCCAGAGGAGGAGTTCCTTCATTCAGAGTCTTCATCGAGTGCATTTACACTTATTGAGAAATATTTTAATTTAGAACTCGGTATTTATGGCCAGTCATTAAATTCTTCTCCCGGTTATTAAGAAGATGTCTCTTAAGTTTTTGTTGGACATTTAATTACAGATTAAGTTCAAATTCAGAGCAGGACGCTCACACGTGAAATATCTGTGGTTATGATATTTACCTGGGGATGTTGTGCTTCAGAATCCTGGAGTGTTGAGAGGAGTCATGCAGAAAGTCAACCCCTTCAAGTCTTCAGCTCAGGTACTGCTTCTGTCAAACACACGTGATGAATTATTACAACTGCATGTGATATTCTGATGACTGATACTTTTACATGTTGTGAACTACACATACTCAAACAGACTCTGACAAACAGCCTCATTTCAAAGTGCCATGAAATTGGTTTTAGAACTGCGAACATACTTAAGGCCTGGTTTGTAATATTTTTTATATCATACTAATAATAACCATCTTATCATAGCAGAAAATTCAGCTCAAGGTGATTTGCGTAAAATATATTAAATCAAAACAACTAAACTATTTTAGTGTTTTTGTCTTAAATCAAATTTTTCAATTCAGATTTAATTTTAGACTTTTTTTTAAAGACCCAGAAAAATGATCAAATGTATAAAAGTGACAGTACATCACCTTGTGATTGATGGATAACAGTGAGCTGCAGTATTTAAATACTTATATTAAAATATAATATGCATCGCAAACAACCACTTTCTGCGTCCAGAGCTACAATCACAGTTTTACAAGTTTGAGCCTCACGGGGGCGCTAGAGGTCATGAAACACTCATGAAAAAATATTTTCAATATATTAATATTAAATATTCATTAAATATGATTGATATGAACTGTTCACTAACTTCAGCTGACTCTGGCACTTTATACATTTATTTAATATTGTGTTTTGAACTCTTTCACCAGGAGTTACGTTATTAATTTAGTTTTATTCTTCTAATCTCAGAATTAAGGCTTTATATTCAATTCAGATTTTTTTAAATTCATTTATCAAATATGATACAAGAAGTATAAACAATATAGGGACAGTGTAAATCATATTGTTCAACTTATGGAGCTACCATCCAGAAATAAACATGAATAATCATTCACCATGTGTCTCTCAGTAAAAGCTTCATAAACCATTCTTTTAAAAAACAAAAGCAAATTACACATCATGTTTATATGATTTCATCTGACCAATAGAAACGCATGTTCTTATAACCTCTTTTTTTGGATTTTACAGTAAATTTAAAAATCCCTCTCAGATTATATTTGCTTCTTCTTCTTTCGTACATAGTCTAAAATAAATATTTTATATATCTCTCTTCGCTCTAGGTGCCAAAAAGTGATCCTCAGGACGAGTGTTCAGATCCACAAGAGACTGGAAAAGAGGCCAAACAGGTACATTACGACTTGCTCTGGATATTCCACCGATGTAAAACTGTCAGGCATCGACTTCACTCGTCCAACCTGCGTGTTTATCGTTCAGAATCCAAGGATGATTTCAGGAATGATGCAGAAAGTGAATCCTTTCAAATCCTCCCAGCCAAAGGTACCAGTGCCAATGACGATGCATTGAATTGATAAAAACTCTCTGGACATTTTCACATGCTCAGTTTCTCTTACTTGTTTCCAGGAAACCCGCCCTCTTCACGGTGACCTGTCCTCCAGCAGCGGGAGCTTAACGGACAACAACAACCCACCAGAGAAACAGGTACATCACATGTGCTGGAACACACTTCAACACAAAGCACACGCCACCTGAGGCACAACATGTTTGTAACATAAGATCCAGTCATTGAATTCATGTCATTCCCCCTTTGCCTTCAGATGAGCTTCACTTCTCACAGTATTTATCATGAAACCGGGTTTTCTCCTGTAGACAGAGTTCAGATCCTCATGCAGTTGTAGACTCGGGCTGTTCAATATCTTTAATAATTCATATTTCTAATGTTAAATAGTTTTCACAGGGTCTTAAAAAATTAATCTTTAGAATTTTAGATCTAAAAAAATGTGTAAAATCCGTCCAAAATGACATCCGTGAATATTATTGTAGTAAATACGATGAGTTAGATCTTCATTAAGTTGCCGATCATCAAGTTACTTCTGTAATGTGTCTCTGCTGCCACCAGATGGAAGCAAAGACAAAACATTTGACGGAGCCTAACTCCAACTTGTATCCAGGAACTTTGTCACCTCTTCCCCAACTCTCCGCACACCCGACACTTTACTTCATAGTGATCAGAAAATTCAGATGATGGACAATTTGTTAATCGTCGAATTATAAAACTGTTGAAAGAGCTCTCGGTCAGTTACTGGCTATAATATATGAATATTTCTCTTAATATTTGAAGTTGACATATATTTACCTCGTGCTCCCGACCCATGGCTTTTGTATTCTTAGCTTCTCTTAATGTTTAAACTAATTTTGTTGCTTTTCTGTGTAAAACAAACTGCATTGTGGGATTGTAAACAGAAACCTGTGCTCATGTCATGATTAGAATTACGTAGATTATGTCTTTATGCCTTCAGGCTTTTATTTAGTATTTTCTGATGTCAGTCCCGTTCTTTTGAACACAAAACCCAAAACCTCGTCCAAATGTTGACTCTGACGAAGAACGATGATCTGATGAGAATTTGTTGATCTAAAGTCAAACGTCATTGTGACCTAACGAAACCTCCGGTGAAGAATTCCTCCAGAGGAACCTTTCGTCTTTGGAATCTATTGTTCGTCCCCTTGAGCGTCTGTAGTCGGCGTTTAGGGAATTTCTTCAGTTTGACTAGTTGTCACTTGGACTCATTGATGAGCTGATTGAGATTCCAGGGGTCAAAGGTCATGTATGTAGACTGAAACCGCTCTGGGTGCCAGAGCACATTCTAGTTTGATGAGTTCTCTGAAGTTAACCGTTTGTTTGACTTTACTTTAGAGGCCAGCGATGTTCAAGGGGATGATGCAGAAAGTGAACCCCTTCAAGTCGCACACACAGGTATCAGCTTCTGATTTAATAAAGTTTTAAAGTCTGATAACCAGCTTTGAGCTTCACTTAACTTTAGCATTAACACAGGCATTAACTGTGTGATCTTTTCGAGCTGCAGACGCCAGAAGAGGAATGTCACACACACTCGGTGAACCCTGCCGCACCCCCATCACTCACGATGCAGGTATGTGTTTAGATTAACGTGAGTAAAGATTTCAGTGGTGTGGAAAATGATGTAATCACTGTTATCATAGGTCGGGTCTTTGATGCTCAATACCTGGAGAACTGTGACCTGAACTAACCCTCGTTATCTTGTTCACATGTTAAGACCGAGCCGGTCAGAACTCTAGTTTTTCTCCCGTTTCTTTCAGGGACATCGAACTCTTCACAGCGACCACTCGTCCAGCTCCGAGAGCTTGGATGACAGAACCATAGAGAGACATGTAAGACGTAAACATCTTCACAAAGCCAAATGTAACTGTATCAGGGTCGTTTCAACGTTGTTAACAGTGCACTCATTGTTTTTGGTTTTACTGCCGTACGGAGGTGATACTGAGGTAAAACATTTCTGTCTCACTAGAAGAATGCAAAGCATCCGACAAAGCTGGAAACATGAAAATTAGTTTTTCCTCAGTGTTGGATGTGAACCAGGAAAAAGCTTCTTACTTAACATAAAGAATGAAACATGTTTTAATCCTTTAACCCGATAATGATGAAATCTTCAGTCGCAGCTTCATAAATTTGTGACCTGTAAATAATCCGACCTCATGACCTTTTCCAGTCTATTTGGTACATCGACCCCGACACCAACTGTGACGTGAAAAATGAGCCGGTGGAGCCGCCAAAGAGAAGAACTATGGTACGTAGCACCGGGGTGAGATCCCACTCAAGTTACTGAAGCAAGTAAAATAAATAGTTACACTCAAAGTATTATTAATACTGCTAATATCTGTGGTTTACTTCCTCTCCAGACTTTCAGAATAAAGAGGATTCTGCCCAGTGCTTTGTTTGGATCTGGAGCAAAGGTACTTGAACTTGTGCTCATGATTCTAGACGGGGCTGAGAGACAAAGATAAATTATAGTTGTTAATATCAATTATTTCTTTCAAGTTTGTTCTCTGCCCATGAAGAGTTTAAAACTACAACCTTCACTCACTTGATATTGTTTTATTACCCAGCCCCATTTAACAAACAGTTTCTCCACTGAAATAAGATCTTCTGTCACGCATTTGTCGTTATTCTTAAATAGTTATGTATTTAACTAATGTCTTGTCTCCTTCTATTATTTTTAGAATTCTGCGACAGCATCATCAGACTCTCAGGGACTAATTGAGGTGAGTAAGAAAGACAGCTTCGTGTGCAAAGCACGATTTAAACACGCGTTTTAAAAAGTGCTGTAAATTAAACTCGGGATTGAAATAATTTAAACGGAATAAAATGATAATATACAGATTCAGTGTTGTGATGAGCCAAATTTAATGAGGAAAAAATAAACACAGAAACATGTGAGTACAGCTGAAGTGCAGGATCTGTTTCCCACAGAGCAAATTATATCGGGCGCTTGTTGTTCACACGTTATATTCTCACATGCAAATGTGTTTGCACAGTGTCATTATGTCACCGTGCAAATAAAACATATCGCCGCTATAATCAACCACACAGGGATGTTTTTGTAAAGGGTGGCCTGTGTTTGCCCGTGTTACTTCTAGCTCAGTACTTTACTTATATGGAAATGTTTTGATTCAAATTTCAGCGTTCTGGTGCAAACACAATAATTTATTCCCGTCTCAATACAACCAGCCGGATTTTCACTCTTCACTTCCTGCTGACGGGTGCATTCCCCCGTCACACGAGAACTGAGCTTAAATTACACGAGCAAACGCAATTAAAATGGAAAATTCAATGAGATAATTCACTTAGCAAATAACAACTGTCAGGTTTATTAGTTTGTACAGTCGACTTCATGTAAACTACCGGCTGCAGCCTGCGTTCAACTTCATCTGGTCTGAGTCAGAGTCATGAGCCTTTTTTTCCAAGTGTTTGTTTGTAAAAACTCTTGAGCTCTTTTCAGACGCTTTGTGTCCATCAATAATTCGTCAGAGCACTTTCTTCAGAAGTTCTACAAGTTCTACAAGTTCTACAACTGCACATTCATTAATGGACGTACTTTTATTTCTGAAAGACGTTTCTTCAGTTCTCGAAACTTCTCAGAACAAAAGAAGCCTTTTGGATGAGAGGTGAAACGTCTTCAAGAAACAAAAGCAAGTCTATCAATGTACGTGCAGTTGTAGAACTTCTGAAGGAAGTGCTCTGACAAACACTCGAACAATCAATGGACACAGAGCGTCGGCCGGGCGCGATGAGGGAGCAGCTGTTATTGTGCAACACACGAATTGGAATTCAAAGTTTTCCAATCTCTGACACAATCTTTCTTACTACGCAATTCAGGAAAGATGCGTAAAGCTTTTGAACTCAGGGTTCAGCGCAGCTCAAATCTCTGTGAGAGCGCCAGTCATTTAAAAAGTGACACTTAAGAATGTGACAATACAATAACAGGAAAGGTAGTACAACTAGTACACTGCAGTAAAAAAACACTCCCCTGTTTGTAGTGAAACACGTTTAAATTGCGCTATGACACACGTGGAAAGGTTGATCCACTGCGTCATGGTACAACAGTAACCTCATTAAATTCTTTAACTGCTTAGCACAAAAAAAAAAGTGTCATTTGACTCATTTGTGTTAACTACAAGATGCACGTTCAATATGAGGGAACCAATTAAATGACAGGTGGTTTACAAAAAACACTGACATCATCTGATTCAATTAAACCAACCCCCCACGTCACACGTCAGCTGACGAGGAGCAGCTCAATGACGGAGCTATTCATGACTCAACAGTTTGTGGTTTGAGGCTCATGATTCTGATGTGTGTAGAGTCGCATCCTCCTCTTGGAGCATTCAGTCCTCATTAATATTACAAATTAGAAGTATTTTATTTAGCGCTTTAAACCGCGTCGCCTCTTTGTAGAGGGATACATCCTCTTTTGGCCAAGATAATTTTTTCATGTCGCTACGTGTCCAATTAAAGCCAATTAGGGGTTTATTTAATTGCATTGTAGCATCAAACCACAAAGGTTTATTTGCAGCCAGACTTTATGAAGAACTGTTAAACAAATGTGTCTCCTCTCTGTTCTAGGAGGTTGTTGAAGTTCAGACTCTAGAAATGGCCGAGGTACCGGTTCCCAGTGAAGGAACAGCCCTGGACCCTCTGGACGTACGCACGTCACGTTGTCATATTCTATCATGTAATTCTTGGAGTGAGATTTGAATTTAACACAGAATTATTCATTTTCAGGATGAAGACGGCCTTCTGGAGTGGTGGAGAACAGTAGAAGGTACGCTCACAGTTTTAACAAGGTCATTTGTGGTTGATCCAGTTTTAAAAACGTATACTTGTTGTTCTGTGTGTTAGGATGGGATGAGTGGAATGCGGCGAACGAGAATGAGGAAGCTGAAGAGTAAGTTCACATTTCACGAAGATAAGTTTCAAGATGTTTTCCGATACCATTTGCCTTTAGATATGCTTTGTGTTTCGGCAGAGTACCGTGCTGATACCGGTGCATTTAGAAAAAAAACAAATTCATACATAGTGTGAATAACAGCACCTATTTTATTATCTAATCTGTCAAAACTGAAATCTAGAAATATTCCTTTAAATATCTCACAACTCAAGTCTCGCACGTCGTCATTTTACCTGAGGGACTAATGAATTCATAATAAATTAAATTATTTTAACCAGCGCTGGTTAACACTTTACTACCGGAGATCACTTCTTATTCATCGCTCTAGAAACAGTACTTGCTGGTGGCAGCACAGCTCAAAGTAGTGATTTTCGGTAGTGTAGCATTAAGCCAGAGCTACTTGAGATGTCAGTAAATAATATTTCACTCTGGAAAGTTCCAACACTTGGATTTAATATACATAGATTTATGTACTCGATGTTTCAGGTCATTTGATGCTGGTATCTGAACTCCTCTTCTCAATGTGCTTGTAGAATTACCTTTGTGAATATTAGCCGATAGCTGCATTCCAGTGTTTCTGTCAAAATATCGTATCTTTGTGTCCTTGCCTCAGAGTGGTGGAAGAAGCAGCCGATCGTGTCTTCATGGCGGCTCGTCTTTTCGTCCGCTTCTTCAACCAGCGTGGCGCCTCCCTCCAGCAGCGCGTCCTGGAGCTCCTGGCTTTGGCTGATGCAGCCGACACTTTTCATAAGAAAACCGTGACGGCCAGCGTGGGCGGCGGCGTGGCCAGCGTGGCCGGGTCCATCACCACCATCACCGGCCTCATCCTGGCGCCCTTCACTGCAGGGACCTCCCTCATCGTCACGGCTGTGGGCATCGGCGTAGCTACAGCCGGCGGGTTGGCGTCTGCTTCGGCCAACATCACAGACACGGTCCATTCGAAGACGGACCGCAAGAAGGTGGAGAAGATGATCCAGGACTACGAGGACGAGATGAAGGACATCAAGGAGTGTCTGGAGTTTCTGCAGGTGAGAAGACACATTTCAAGCTCGACAGTAACAAACACAACTTGAATATATACCGATACCCATGTTCTAGGTCTTGAAGTCGACTCACGTTTAACATGTGCGTGTGAGAATACCGACCCAACATCATTTTTAAGCGTGAAGTGCCACAATTATTTTATGTTAAACAAGTTGAATTGAAAAATCTTGAATTCAAAAAATGAGGCTCAACTCTAACGTATAATTTCTCCTGTTTGCTCCACAGGAGGGGATGGAGACGCTTGATGAGTGGGACTTTGAGAAATTCGCTGAAAGCATCTCCAAAAAACACCTAAACCAGAACGTTAAACACGTCATGAAGGAGGGCGGCCGAGCCGGCAAGGCTTTGGTCATCAACACAGAGAGTCTGATCAGCACTGTTCAGGTCCTCGGCGTTGCAGGCAGCGCCGCCAAAGCCGCCCAGGTGATGAGCGTCACCACCGGAGTGATGTCGGGCCTCTTCCTGGCTCTCGATGTCTTTTTCCTGGCGAAGGACTCCATGGAGCTGAGGAAGGGCGCTAAGACAGACTTTGCAACAAAAATTCGAGAAGTTTGCAAAGACCTGCAGGACGGGCTGCTTCAGCTGAACACCATCAAGGAGCAGCTGCAGAAAACCATGGACGGGATTGAGGTGGAGGTAGAAGAGGAGGACGAAGAGCAGTTGAAGTCTGATCTGAAGAAACTCATGGAGCTTGAAGACTGAAGTTATGGTGATTTCAAACCAAAGTCTCAGAAATTAAATGAAGTTTCAGTAGAAAATGGCCTTGTAGTTTTTATAATTATTCTGTTACTGTGCCAAACCTGCAATTCCCTTTTCCAGTATTTTCAAGTAGCTGCTCTGTAGGACTATATTTA